ATGTCTGCAGTCTTCTGCCATGATTCAGGGGATATATAAAAATGCATCGAGTCCTGTGTTCCTGAAGATGGGAAAGCCAACAACAACTTCTTCAGAGCATAAAGTACTTCCTCAACAAAGCTTTCTCATGAAGTTGCACTGTTGAGCTTAGCTGTTTCTCTTCTGGTTCCACTCAACCTTCTGTTTCTTCTCTGTGTCGTCACACTTTTGCTGCCCAGCCCAGTCTTTAAGTGACACAGAGTTGAATTTAAATGTTTGTGTGGCCTTAGGCTTGCTTCAGCTTTTGTTTACTGTTGGATAGCAAGATGTATCATAGCTGCTCTAAGGGCGATGTTTGCTTCATCATCTTCAACACACTTTAACATGGTTTGTAGCAATGTAGACAATGCAGACTTCCCAATTATAAGCAGCATCCATGCTAGATATGATATGGCCATACTGACGAGCTCCTCCAAGCACAGACTTACCTTTAAAATATGGGAGTGTTTTCTTCCAGCTAATGCAAACTCAGCCAGGGAGGTGTTTCTCCTTATCTCCCTGGGCCATACAGACAGCAGGACAAGTGTCATTTCTTGTGTGCATACAACATCCTACTTACGAGTCTCAATACATAATGTCTGAGCTTGCAAATAACCTCCAGAAGCCGTTGCCTGCAAATTTCACTAGTAGAGAAATTGGGAGATAGAGATTTATTTGAAATTCAGTGATGCACAGACGTCTTGCTTTCTGCCTACAGACTGCAGTTCCCAAGGACGCTACTGTTCTTTGGTTCTTTTTGAAGCTTTTCTTTTACTAAAATACCAAAATCAAAACCACTTCTTATACTGAACAATGAAAACCTTTATTTGCAACAGCTTTACTACGGTTTTCAAGAATGTGTATGTATATAAAACAGGAAGGGCTTCTTGGCTCTTTCTTATTTTGGGTTTATCCAGTGTAAAGACAGCTTCAAAGCTATCATGCAGATGGGGCTAGTGATGTAATGACATTTGCTTATCAAAGTGAGCACGAGGAGGAGCAGCAAGTCAGCCTTCCTTGTAGTTGTGTGACTTAAGCCTTTGTACATCACAACAACCCCTTCTCTGAGTAGTGACAAGACAAAGGAGTCGAAGCTCTTTGGCGCATGTTATAGAGATACATTCCTCCACATGCAGAGGATCTACACAAGACCTTTGGACCTCCAAAAGTCAGTTTTGTTGTTGTTTAGACCTTGTCAGAGTTCTGTTTTACAGTTCCATTCTGCAGTTTAGAATAGTTGTTACTGTATCAGACACTTAGGGGAAAAAAAAAAATCAGACCAAGTCTTGGGTCCAAAGGGTCAGCAAGCCTAGCAGTTGTCTGATAATTCCTTCTACTGCTCTGCCCCAACTTCTCTTTCTCCCCAGGTGCAGCAAAGAGCGCAGGAGTGTATCAAAGCTGTCAACCTCATTCTTAAAATCAATTCAGGAGAGGAAGTAATGAACGTACTAAATTCAAACTTTGACTGGAATAGCTTAAAGGTTAGTGAAAGGCAGTGACTGCATTTTGTAAAATGCCTAATAATGCTTCTGGTTTCCCTCTTCCATTTCTAAACTGGTTCCTGTAAACTGTTCTGAAGATCACACCGTAGATCTATGAACATATTGTCAGGTCATCCCAAGCTGGATAGGTAGTAATGGAGCTGAAATGATGCTCTTCTTACTTCAATAGGATCTATTGCCTAAAATATTACTCCCTTTTAAAAAAAAAAGTTTGGGAAAGAGAAAAAAGCACCTTCATTTTTTTGACAGGATTCTGTTGATACTAGCAGAATAGCTGTGATGGGACACTCTTTTGGTGGTGCTACAGTTATTGAAAGTCTCAGCAAAGAAATAAGATTCAGGTAAGTACACAAAACAAGGCAAAAGACATTTGGTACTTGAGAGGTCTGGAACAGGGGAAGAAAAGTTCTGTTTGGCATGTCCTGTTTTTTCAAGTCATGCTTCCTTCAACTGTGGGGATGTCATATTGTATCATGATACTGTGGGACCCTGCAGAAGCTCCTGTGCCCAGCTGCACCTGGCAATGGAGACTGACAAATGCAATAATGGATTAATTCTCTTCCCCCAGAGTAGAAATAATTTTGAAACAAAATGATTAACCTGTTTACCTGTTCAGTATCATAGGAAGTTGCTCTTTCCCATGTCTCCTGCAAATCAAAGCATGCTGAGAACATCGATACAAAGCTTTCTGCTTCTGTGACCATATCCAGTTGTTTCTGGCAGGTGTGGCATTGCCCTCGATGCATGGATGCTTCCAGTAGGTGATGACATTTACCAAAACAGCGTCCAGCAACCGCTGCTTTTTATCAACTCTGAAAAATTCCAGTGGGCTGACAATATCTTAAAGATGAAAAAACTCAGCTCCAATGACACAAACAAGAAAATGATCACTATCAAGTAAGTGTCCAGGATCCGTAATTTCTGTGGTTGAAGATGAATCTTTACTCTCTTGTTGGAGTCGTTTGGTTACATGTAACTGCAGAAAGACAGTCGCTACTTCCTCATGGCCCAGGTTTTCACTGCATGTTTAAATTAGACAGCGATAAGTCCCCCACTGTGGAGACAGAGACCTCTCTCAAAGCAGCCAGTAACCCTAAGTTTAAGATACTCCAAGGTGCGTATTCCTGCCTTGGGGCACAAGTTTTGCTCTGGGCCTCATGCATCATCTGTGTTTTAACACTTTAAATAGCCTTCTGGGTGCAGTTACGCACTCACCTAGTGAAAGCACTGCGTACAGGGGAGCAGATGGCTTTATCATCCACCTTATACTCAGAGCAGAGAGACAACTGGGTCTTGAAGTTTTGCCAAGCCTACTCTTTATTGCCATTGGAATTGTAGTGACTTAACAGTAAACACGTTCAAAACTTCCTCCCTTCTGTGGTTAGGACACAATTTACTGCTAATCTTGCATGCTTATGAGATTAACCTGTTTTGTCATCTGCTAAAGAAGACAGCATAAGATGTATGACTGTCTTTGAAGAAGTCCGTGCAACCCATGGCATCTTTTAATCAGATGACTTCATTCTTATAAGCCTGTTGATCACTGTTCTATTTGCAGGGGGTCAGTACATCAGAGCTTTCCTGACTTTACCTTCGTGAGCGGAGGAATCATTGGAAGATTTTTCAAATTAAAAGGAGAAATAGATCCAAATGAAGCTATTGATATAAGCAATCATGCTTCATTAGCCTTCCTGCAGAAACATTTGAGTAAGTATCTGTTTACATCAAAGTATGAAGTTAAATTAATACTTAATTCCTATGAAGCTTTTTATATAACCATTCTGTTTAGAACAAGATCAAGAGCAAGTGTCACAAAAGTTTAAGTAGAAAAAACAGACCCTTTTTCTAGAGGTTTGTTAGTTACTTTTGTAATCTAAGCAATTCAGAGGAGGAACACTGCAGTTTTGTTCTAATACATAAATACCTGGAGTGCCATTTTTGCCTCCTTAAAACATCATGCCTCCCCTACTTTGCCAAGTTGATTCATCTGTCCTATAATTTAATTTTTCAGTGTAACTTTACAAAAAGCTGACTACTTAATTCGTTACCACTTGGGTTTTCTTTCCCCCATTTTATAGGTCTTAAGAAAGATTTCGATAAGTGGGATTCTCTTGTGGATGGCATAGGACCCAATGTTATTCCTGGTACCAATATTGACTTATCTCCAGCTGAACTGGAATAAGGAATACAAAGAAATACTGAAAATGCCACGGACATCAGGACACTAATGTTGGCCAGACATTGCTCAGAACTGTGATAGCGTTGGCCACCTACACAGCTTTTGGGGTATGGAACAAAAAAAAGATAAGGCATGAGGTTACATTATCATGAAACTGTGGAGAGGTTTTAGTTCAAATGAGGTAGTGGGATTCTCTGAAATACTGCAACAGGGTAACTTCTGCTTTATAGGCAGCTGGGGGAAAAAAAAAATAAATCACGTGATGGTCATTTAAAGGCTTTTTCTAGTTTTGACTTAGAATCAAGTTTGCAGAGAGAGAGATTAAGCTCCCAGGAATTCAACTAAAGTTCTGCTTACCAAGCTTGAAGTCAGTTTGCATCCAGCAAGCCTTTTCTGCAGTGTAAGAAAAAAAATACATCAATCTTTAATTTGTTATTAAACTACTTAGTATTTCAGCTGTGCTCTAACAACAGTTGAGAGTTGGAACAGGTTTTTTTCTCCTTCTAGTTAGAAAGGTGCCAGTGGAAGGTCTTCAGAACTGTCTTATTTTAATAAGAATCACAGCAAAAGCTACAGGAAATAGTTTAAGGTAACAGCAGAGAAAGGTGTTTGTTCAGACACAGGACTTCTCATGTGAACTTAATCCACTTACATTTAAGATCTGTATTTACTGCCATATTCAGAGGATGTTTCTATTCCAAAAGCTGCTGAAATGGTCACTCTTGTTGTAGCAACTGTAATTCCCCTTAGGCAAAGCTCCAAGCAGTGCCTCTCTTGTTAATCTCTGTATTACCACTGTTGTAGGTGAAATTACAGAAGAGATGCGTCACTTCTACCACTCCCTTTAAAAAGGGGTATGTAAGCATTGCTTGATCATCTTGATGTCTCTCATGGTTATAACACTCTCCAGACACTCGTCTTTGTCCAGGTACTAGCATTGCTGTCTGTGTCTGTCAGTAGAAGCCGTTGACTACGTGGTTGGCCAAAGAAGGCTCCGATTTTTAGAACAAAACTCTTTGAAGTTGCCACATGGAAGGCTGACTTCTAAATGAGTAAGTCAGTCTTGCAAAAGGGGGACTACTTCTAACTGTAGCCTATTTGTTTCAAAATTAGGTTACAAACAAAACAACTGAAGCAAGCAGAACAAGCAGAGCAGTTAACGGTGTAATTAAACATTTATATAATCTGTGATCTTAACATGAGATTGCAACAACGTCTAAGACTTGTTTTTCAGAATTTAATTAAATTCTCTCCAGCCTACCATCGTGCATGTTGATTCCCTTAATAGAGACAATACAAGTGTTTCTCTTACCGAGTGAGCACTAACACTTGAGGTCTACTGTGATACTCAGCCAGACTATTACATTGTCAGAGATCTTGGGTTCCTAAAACATTACGGCAGCATGAAAAATCCATAGCCTCTGAAGAGGAGGAAGAACCTATGCTATACAGGAGCATGGAACAGGACTGGAAAATAGAAACCCCTTTTCAACACAAGGTGGAGAATAAACGGTGAGATAAGCTGCATCTGTTTTAAGGAGAAGTCCTTACCACACTGTACACATGCAGCAGCAAAACCATTCTACTAGGTCTGCTTCATCGTCATAGGAAAAGCTTCATCTTTCCTTAGTGCAATTAAGGCCATGTCATAAATACAAGTTCTATTTTGTACATGACTGATGTTTCAAAGCATTCACCATAGCTCACAGTGCTCTAGAGAGCTGTTTAGGGTCAAAACAGAACCAGTAACTGCAGAATGTGCATAGCTACATCTAACTGCAGTAGTACAGCTGAAGATAGATACTCGGTATGCACACAGCATTTGGGCTTATGCACAGGGAAAGAACACAAGTCATTAACAAAACACCGATCAGTACATGCCAGCCAAAGCTTTATTCCAGTTTCTTCCATTGCTTTATAACAGCACCAAATGCAAGACTTCAACCCAGAACAACTATGTTCCCCTACAGAGAAAAAACTCCTCCCCTCACAAAAAAAAGAAGATACCCTCAACTTTTCTTGGAGAAAAAAGAAAAACCATTAATGCAACTTTTCAAAAAGCATACATCAGAAAGCAGTACTGTGCAACACAGTAGCCTATACAGCAACTCACAAGAAACTTTTGTTCAAGAACCACCCACCAACAGCTAGATGCACAAGTTGGTGCACACACACATTCAATAAGGAACACCAGTCAAGAGGCAAATTCTTATTTAAGTAAAGAAAGTACAGCTATAAGAAGCCAAACTGACAATAACAGTCTACCAACAAGCACTATTCCTTGACAGGGAAGTATGGTAGTGACAGGCATTTGCTCAGTTACATAGAAGAAACACTCAATGCTTTGCTTGTATCCTTGTTCCCATGAAAACATGTTTTCATGGGAATGTTCGTGTACACAGGTACTCGCTCAGCTTCATGGCGTGAACATGTCACTTGGTTTCAGGAATGTTGGAGGACATGAGAATCTTCACCTAAATCTGAACTGCAGCAAGTTTGCTTTTCTACAGGGAATAAAAACAGATTAGACCCATCAAGATGTTTTTATAAACATGTATAAATGCTTTAATACTTAAAATCATAGCTCTACAAGGCTTCAACATATGTAGATGTCATCAACATATTGGACTACGTTAAAAGACTATACTTATGCAAAGTTATCATATAAGGGTAAGACAGTTGAAACAACAGAACTGCGCAAGAAGATGAAGCTAGCAGTGCTCCCAGATTTCAGTTTACAAGTTCAAGTCACTCCATCCCTCAGTGGGCTTAGCATAAGCCACTGCAGGAGTTTTTGCATCCTGTGGATTGGGTACCTTCTACTCAAACTGCCTTTCCAGGCAGTGGCCCACATGTGCAGCAAGATCCAGTTTGTGCCACGTGGTTGCATGACCTTAGCTCACGTTTTCTGTGCTGCTGCTGAGAGGGTGCATACACTAATACTGTGCAAAGCATTCAAGAACACAGACAGTGGGCAAATTTGGACAATAATAATTAGCAACCAAAGGGGAAAACCACTAAAATTAAGTGGTAAAAACTGTAAAAGTATTATCAAAACCAGAAACAGCAAGATCAGGAATAATCCTGCATTTGAGGGAGGATTTGTAGATTCACCAGTTTAACATTTTAATCAAGTTTTTTTAATTAGTTTTTTTGCCCAGCAGGTAACTAGATCTCTGTTGCAGGCTTCGTTATTTGTTACCTGTAAAGCAGTCAGCTTTTTGTACAGTTGTACTGAAATACAATTACCAATTCAATCACTGAAAACACAAATGCTATCTCTACTTAAGCTTAGTTCAGTCTCCATCAGGCAACCACTGGTCAAACACAGGAACAAGCTGCCCAGAGAGGTTCTGGAGTCTCCATCCTTGGATGGATTCCAGACCTGAAAGGACGGTCCTAAGCAACCTGATCGAGTTGACCCTGCTTTGAGCACCTCCAAAGGTCCCTTTCAACCAGAACTTCTCTGTGATTCCACAGATTATAGAAATAGTCTGTCATCAGGAAGAACCTGTACTATTTTGGTACACAGAACAGGTGTTTGCCAGTAACACCTCAAAATTTTTAAGTAACAATAAAGATGTACATGCACTATTCACAAACTATCCTTACAACTAAGATGGTAATATTATGAGTTCAGATTCATAGACCAAGATCTATTAAGGGATTGGGACATTCAAATCCCAAACTACAATGCTTAGTTGAATCTGCCTAGCAGTCACTCGCCTTGCCTCAGAAACGTGAGGAAGAGTAGCATGCTGGTGGCCGATGCTCAAAACCCTACCAAAAAAGTCTGTAACTTAGGTGTACCACCCCAGCTTGTCCAAGAGACTCAGTCCACTAGGTTGAATAAATAAATACTAAATTGATTTCTAATCAAGACAGAGTAGCAGCTTTCACTGCACGTATGCACCATTAAACTGACAGTACGTAAGCTAATGCTACTAAGAAAATTACAACAACAGTATTAAAGTAAATACGTGTTAAAAAAGTTTCCACTGTATTTTCTAAAATAAAGCATTTTCTAGAAAATTAGAAAGCAACCAAACACCAAGTACACAGCCTCTTTGGGAGGTTTAAGGTAGTCTTACCTTGAAGTAAGGGCTCCTCTGGTAAGGACCGCGAGTTTTCTGTTGCAGGGGTTATTGCCTAAACAAAAGGGGATTCTGTTAGGAAGCTGGCACTATTGCCAAGATAGTTTTCCGTTGAGGTTCTTCCTTTAATACTAGACTAACTTTTTACATCAGCCCTGCTGGCCTCTTATTTACCACTGTTTTCCCCCCTTATAACTCACTACAGAAGTCTTCCGCCCACTTTCCGCTTTGATGCAAAAACTGCATGTGAAGAATGAACTGGAAATTCATTCTGTTATCATCAGTAGCATGGCTGACGACCCGAGTTTTGGGTTCCAGACATGAATTTTTGCATTCATTGGTACTTCATGAAGAACACTGGTGAAAACCTTACTACCATTTCCTAATTACTTCTATTATGAAGCATTTTTCATGATTTACCAGTTAGTTACATGCTGTAGTAGCATGATAGGTCAAAAGCCACCATATCATCAGCATTGTTCTACAGTTCTTGATTAATAGTAGTCTTCCAGTAACATTTCTTCCTTTGAGCTGTTTTCACTAATCTATTCCCAGACTGAATTCACAGTCCTCAGGCCAAATGGCTGACAGTTTATATAAATCAATTTATGTAAACTATTTATATAATAGCAGTTATATAATAGATTTATACAAATGTCTATAGTCTCCATAGAGATCTATTAGAGAAAGAAGGACAATATGATGTCTTAAAGAAAAATACTGTGCTTCTAGCTGTTGGCACGAATGCACAGATTTAGATTAATGCTACTTTGCCTTTCTATTCTCACAGTGACACAGGACTAATCACAGCTAAACTCAGAGCTCCCTTTCTAAAAGTCAGTACTGTCCTGCCCAGTCCACTACCACACCACCATACCTCAGATGATCTGCAAGCCCAGTCAGGAATACCGTTCCAGACATTCTCAGGATCCACAATCTCCTCATTGCCACTGGAGAGATTCAAGACCTGTACAGACAGAGCCAAATCTTACCTAGCACAGCAGTGGATCCTGAGAATACACTCAGCAAATAAGACAAAGTAGTAGGAAAACACAATTGAGGGTTCCCTGCCTTTGAGAAGGCTTTCAGTCTGGACCTTCAAGGAAGAGCAAGTTAACCTCTAATAAAGCTGAATATCGCTACTGAATCTGCTCAAGGCTCTCCTGGGTTTCTAACCCAAGTATGGTGAGAGAGGAAGGCCGGAAGACACCTACTAGATCAGAACCAGCAGGAAACTGATGAATAGGGATATCACTACATACCTGACACTGACACTCACCTGAATGCAGCTGAGGTTAGCTTTAGATACCTAAGGAATCCACTAGCACAAGAGCTGGCTTCCATGATCTCAGGCATTCGATCTTCCAAAAAGTTACTTTTATGAATGCTCTTTTGGATTTGCAACCTTAAATTAAAACTTAAAGGCCCTTTTATGTAAGTATAATGTCTGTGCATATGTGTACATATGCTCACACTCCCCCTGAACTGGAAGAAGACTTCTCATTTATCCCATAGCTTAAACAGCAGTAGAACAAGGCAGCCCATTAGATTATAATCTACTGTTAACTCCCACCAAGCACTAATTCAATACACATTTCACTGAAGTAGGAGTAGTTGTGTATTCATTATTAATGACAGTATAATTTAAATTTCTTCCCAAGTTTCTACTGTTCTAACACTAATTCCTCAAAACATCAGTAAAATAATGCCAGGTTTCATGGGCATTTAATGGTAACACAGCTCCATAGCAGAACATTAACTTGCAGGCCAGATAGAACCACACACATATGAGTATGTATCTCAAACTGGAGCCAGATCCTTTAGTCTTTGCAGTCAATGCAGGGGAATAAGACGTGAAGGGAATATCAAGTGTTGACATACAGCATCCACTCGGTTTGAGACACTGCTGTTTCTATGTAATCTGTAAGTCCAGAATCAACCTTTGCAATACTAAGTCTTAAATTCTGTAACAGACTTCTGGAAAATATTCAAAGTTTGGAGGAAGACCAGAGAAGGACTGGATCTTAAGAATACAGACAGAGTATTCAAACCATACTTACCCTGGTACCTTTTTCAGATACCTCCAAAATGCGAGCCTCGCACCATTTTAGAGAGGTCCACACCACACATTTGGAACCAACAGCAAAGCCCTTCAGATTACAAGTATACTCATTGTGTTCTACAAAAATGATGACATATCAATGAAGGAGGAAGAAAAAAAACCCACACAAAAACAACCCCTCCAAAACACTCAAATGCCTCACAGCCCTCCTCCCATACTCCCCTGCCCCCCAAAGTATTGCACGTAAATATTTGAAAGTTAAAAATCTGTCACCGTGAACTGGCTTGAAAATGCATTTCACATTCAGAAATAGATTTCCAATCATAAAATCATTAACCTCTCAAAGTCAGATTAGTTGCTGTTAGACTGTCACACTATCCATGATACTACAGTTAGTCTGATGTCCATAACCCATCAAAGCATACTGATGTTAACACTAATATAGTAACTTATTAGGGAATAAAATTTAGGTTACTACAAAAAAGCTGTTCTCATGCTTGAATGGGCAAAACATTTT